AGAGGCAAACTATGGAAGCTTAAAGTAAATGTTCAACACACACAGTCATAAACATAATTTGTCTTTAAGAATGTTGTTTTACTTTCAGGATCCAGTCTGTTCAATTCCACTATATAACAAAGAAAACAGTGTTCAGTAGTTTTTATTTTTCTATCCTTGTTTTGTTGTAAGTTAATGTTTGTTTCTGACATCAAAAATGACTGTTAGAAATATATAATAAAGCTAAAATATCAAATGTGTAGTTGTTTTTTGTATATATTTGTACTTTTCCACTCCGTCCACTTTCCTCCCTGCGTTGGCCTGTGATGGATGTTGATCCAGACTTTCAGGATTTACAGGTGAGTCATCATAAGGTGTTGTTTTTCAATAACTGTCTCTGCAGCATAGTGTGTTCTTTTCCTGCTTAGATGACCTGGGATTCTGACCTGTTGGTGTGCAGGTTTTAAACAGAGTGGTTAATGACTTCCATGTGTGTGGCAGCAGAGACCTTGACTCAGCACAACTTTCCCTCAGACTGCCGAAGGAGCATTAACCTGAAAGCACATATATTTTAAAGACCCGACAAAATGTACGTTTATTTTTTCGCTTTTTTAAAATATTATTTATTGTTTCTACTGCATTTACACAAAAGTAAAAAAAACCCTGTATAATGCAGTTTAAGTAATATTACATATGAACTACACCAAACTGTCTCTTGGATGTTCTGTTTTTTTCCATCTTGTCAGGGCACGGCCACGTGGAAAACTACACACGAAATGGAAGTGTTGGGGGAGTTCAGGGACATTGTTCGGTGTTAAAAAGGGGGAGGGGTGACCCCTATAGATAATCAGCAGAGGTAGTCGGGGGAGGGCTTGAGTACTGGTTTCTGTCAAAAAGTTCAAGCCATGGACAGTCCAAACCACAGGGAAAGGAAACAGAATTGTTTGTGACCGGTTTGTGAAGCTATGTGTCCTGATGTCTTATTATTTGCCATGCTTTTTCCCCTCAAATAAAAAAAATCAAATCAAACTTTTACCACACATTTAGGACCAAGTTGCTTTTTGTAAGAAAATTAAATTAAGTCAAGATTCTCATTAATGTGGCCAGTAGAAAACCAGCAGTGTTGTCCAAGAGCAGCCAGTCGCCTTTGACACACGTCACAAACGTCATCTTCTCGCAAAGTTCTCCAGTTTCAGTGACTCCCAAGACGTACCAGACGTTTTGGGAATGACCTTTAATGAGTAACTGAGACTGCAAAAGCTGCAAAAATAATTTTACAGATTCCTTGCATTCCTTAGGATTCTTAAAAATATTTGATCAACAATTTACCTCTGGATATCAGTAATGTATTTTTTGATCCTGATTTAAACAACAGGGTGATGAGTCGTTTAATCGCTGATGATTCTGATTTACTGAGAAAATAGTTATTTTGACAGCTAATAAATGTTTCCTGATGTCTAAATCTGATACTTCAGATTTGCTTATATTTGCGCAATAAAAAAATCTAACAAATATTTTTAAAAGTTCTAAGAATTGTATAATTAGAAAATAAACCATTTCTGCTTAGGTCATGTGGAAGAGCTGCAGCCAGGATGTTCAAAACAGATAATAAAAACAAGTCTTTCAACATTATCCATTAATATTATTACTGCTACAATTGCATGTCTTTATTTAATTTGACCAGATCACACACTGTGTTCACTCAGCCATTGCTTTGCTATGACTGCTATGACTTAACTATTTATTCATCCATTAATTTCACTTAATATATATGTATATATTTGACCAAATAGTCTTTGTTATTCAGTGTTTGTTTGTGCTGCAGCTCTGTATAATAACTGTGTTACTGTGTCATATATATTAGGAATGTGACCAATCAGGGCTAAGCATTCCCAGGCAGCCAGGATGCCTTTGGTGGAGACTCAGCATCTGCCCATGTGTGTGTGTGTGTGTGTGTGTGTGTGTGTGTGTGTGTGGCATGGACGGAAACATGCAGCAGCCTATTATTCCCTGCCTCTGCAGACAGGGCTGAACCAGTACATGTGTTTTTCCGAGAATGTGAGCATGTGTGACATTTTGTGGAAGTGAAGGTTTGAGGGAATTCAGCAGCCTGCTTGCTGGAAGGAATGTTTTTAATTTTCCAGGAAATTTCGAAACCTCATTCACCACATTCACATAAACAAGAACATTTTGTCACTGTTTTGTTGTGTTCAAAGGCAGACACATTCGTTCCAGGAACTTTCCTCCGTTAGCACAAGATGATATGGTTTTGATATGAGTTTCTTTTTGCAAACGGTTCTTTTCTCTCATTCTCTTTTCTCTTACGGTTGTGGCGTAAGCCGTGGTTTTTCTTCTTCTTTCTTTGCGGGACCAGAGCCCGCACTGGTTTAAACTAGTATGAGGTGTTACGCAACAACAAACCACTAGCTAGAACAATAACGTCATGGAAGCCCCCTCCATCTAAAGAATCGAGAGTTTGTTTAATTGGCTATTTTCATTTTACCTCCACGTGCTGCACCACCTGAGGGTAGATGTGTTCATTGTTTTCCTTTTTTGTGTGTTAGTTTCCTCCCCCCTGATGCCATGGCGTTATAAAAGCCAATTCATGTATTTTTCCCTTCTTATGAAACATTGATGTATCTCTGGTCCACACGAGAACCATCACAATACAGCCTGTATGTTCTGATGGTTGGCATAGCAACAAGCCAGCATCCCTCGGTCAATGTTTCCAACTCCTCCCCCCGTTAAGCTCCCCCATGCAGCACAGATCTTTCCCTTTTGCGAAGAACCCAGCTGATGAGATAGAATCAGACCAAATGTCTAGTAGAGCAGATTTGAAACGCCGTTAAAGGGCAGAACATTTTTAATGTTATGATGCAAATCAGAAGACGACGTCATTGTCATGCATTCATACTGTTTGTCAGCGATGTTAAAAATGGGCACAGGTGGGTGGGTCTGTGATTTGGTAAAAACAGCACGGTGCGTCTGTTTGGGTCTAGGAATGCTAATATCCAAGCTAGTGTGTCCACACCTTCTGTGAATTTACCCATGGTACATTCTGTGTATTTAACGCATTCATGGTCTTACATAACAGATATATATATCACCACTTGGAGTTGATAAAGTACAAGGAAAAGGTGAGGGAAAGGGGTTTGTTGTTACAGTTTTTCACATAGACCACACTAGAAAAAGTTCTGCTCAGAGAGTAAGTCAGGAACATTCTGAAAGAACGTCCAATCCAGAACCATTGTCAGTGGCATTTACACGTCTGGTTATAAGACATAATTTCTTCGATCCATCTTTAAGAAATAAATCCATCCTATAATTGTTTGTCTTGTCCATTTATATCAGGCTTCCTGCTTAAAATGTATCTGTAAAAATATTGAGTTTACTAAACCGGCATTGCCTGAAACAAATGAGAACCCATAACTAATGACAAAGACTACAGAATGGTCAACATAACTACATAAATAACTGCATAAATTCTCCTACTATTTCTCCATCCTCTTTAAGTTAACCTGCGGATCAACAGCTCTATTCATCAACCTGATAAACATTTATAACCCTGACAAACTCCAGTTATTTAGAAATAAATTTAAAGGCCTTTGTTTGAACTTGGCACAGTGTGACTGACAACAGAATTAAAAACAGAAGTGGAGAACAAGTTAAAAGAACAGGGTGTCATCAGTTTTGATGAAAAACAAAGACATTTGCAGCCTCCAGGCCGTCAACAGTCATTGGAACAGGATGAAACCTGCCCTCGGCCGTCATGATTGGTTAACTTGTGCGGGGCAAAAACCAATCCGTGCATTTTTAGATTTTCTGTTGTGAAGGCAGCTGGATGTAGGGGAAAGGTCGTAAAGCCCCCGGAGTAAGAAGGGGCAGAAAAGATACATGTTTACAACCCATGAAGTGAAGTTAGCTTCCTGGATGTTGTGTAGAAACCTGCCTTTGTTGTAGGAAAAGGAAAACAAAGAATCCCTTCATAATGGTTTATTATATGTGAAATTCCCCAATAATCTTTGTCAGTTACCTAAAACATTCCAGGAAATTCCTAAGCCTAACATGACAAGTGACCTAAACTGTAACAAGTTAGTTTTGTGTTTATTTTCTTTTCCCTTTATTTGAATTACAGATCTCGGACAAAGGTGAGTCTGGTTCAGGACAACAGTCTGCGGTTGAGCCGAGTAGTTATTTATGACACAGCACTTCTGCTCTCAAGCAGTGGCAGTCGGAGGCGTCTAATCGCTGTCTCGTGAGTACACCAGTTTCCAGTCTCTTCCCACCGGCTTTGTCGTAAAAAAACAAAAAGAAAAATCAAAATGTCTGAACAAAGCTGCCATTGATCTCCCAAGACACTGTAACCTCAGAACATTTGTCCAAACAAAGAGCTACAACTTGTTACTTTCATGCACTGTTTTCTTGCGTACTCTGATATTAATGCTAAGTCATGACTTGTTTGATCAGGTGTGATGCTTGCCTAAGAGGATTGCAATAACAATACTGATGACGCTGCAACCAAGCTGTAGAAACGGCCAAGATCCAGTCTGCACAAAGCTAATTCACTATTAATAACAAAAACTAACTGTATTAAACGTTTGAGACGTGCCAGGTTAGCTACACTGCTCGTAATAAGTTAACACTGCAGTTCTAACCATAGTAAAATAAGATCAAGGTTTGCCTGGGGGGGAAAAAAAGCATGACTGATTAATGGCAACTGAACAGCCATTTGACCTAGTTAATCCAGCTAGTACACTTCTTTTGGAGCAAAGCACAAAGATGAAATGTTTAACTAGTCTTTGCATCACTTTAAAGTAAAGAAAAAATAAAAACCTGTTTGATAACATTTAGACTATAGCTCAGCATATTAGCAAACGCATCTGCTAGCTAACCATATTAACACAGCAAGCGTTGCTTTGTCCAAGGATCTTTTAAGGATCTGGTTTCATTATTGTCTAACTAAGAGCAGTGTTCACCAACAGGCAGAATAATAAAATGAAGAAATACAAGTACGTTTCACAAAATGTTGACCTATTGTTTTAATCTTTTGCTTTTAAGTCATGAGTCATACAGCCATGTTGTGATAAAAATATGTTTTAAATGCATCAATAAAAAACACCCGGTTCAGTAAACTTGTTATTTTCAACCAAATCAGGTGTATTACAATATTGCAGTTAACAAAGGATAAAACTCCTTGAGGAAATCTACAAATGGCATTATGGACAAATCCACCACATTTTAACAACATATGTCTGGGTAGAAACGTCGACACAGGTGTGTACCTACAGTCTCGAAATTAACTGGATGACATGGAGCACTGCCATTTAAAAATAGACACTTTGTAGATATCAAATGAATTAGTAACACCGAAGACTGAAAAGTTGAAAGGCAAGTCAACATATTACCAGTACATGAACTAGTGAGATCTATCAGGTTCGACCAGCTGCCCTCTCTGCAGCTTTACTCCTCAGTGTCCATGTGCCTTAGTTTTTAACAGACAAAGGGAAAGCTGACATGGGTTACAAAACAGTGTTACAAAAGCCAATCCCTTCAGAATGGAGGGGAAAGACGTACCCTGCTATTAACCAGCTTATCACTACCAAGGATCACAATTGCCGTGCCTTATATTAAGTTGACCAGCCAACTTTAAGCCATTAAAATGCAGGTTAAAAACTCTCAAGTAGAAGAGGGGATTTAAAAAAAAAATACAGTACTAGTTTAAAAGTAAAGATAAAGTCAAGGGGGCAGTGAGAGTCAACCCAGAAGTAGAGAATCTAGTAATCCGCAGGCTCATCTCCTTCTTCGTTCAGCAAACAGGTACGGATGAGGGCTTCAGTTACACCATACGGGTCGCAGTTGGCCGATGGGCGGCGGTCCTCGAAGTAGCCCTTCTTGTCCTGACCCACACTGCGGGGAATGCGGATGCTGGCACCACGGTTGGCCACACCTGCAGAGAATTCGTCGATGTTTGAGGTTTCGTGGTGGCCAGTAAGACGGCGGGCATTGTCAAGCCCCCCTTTGGGGTCATAGGCACGGATGTGATAGCGGTGCCTTTTGCCAAGCTTCTCAATGGACTCTTCAATAGCTCTGCAAAGACAAATCATGCGATTATCCAATCAGAAACGGTCAAATAATACTGCAATAATTATTGCAACTCAATGTGTATATATTTTAAAAACTCACTTCAATCCACCATCTTCCCTCATTTCTTTAGTGCTGAAGTTTGTATGGCAACCTGCCCCATTCCAGTTACCAGGGATTGGCTTAGGGTCGAATGAGGCAATAACACCAAAGTCTTCACATACACGGTGGAGAATGAAACGTGACGCCCACAGGTGATCGCCCATTTCGATTCCTTCACATGGGCCAACTTGAAACTCCCACTAAAAAAAAAAACAAAAGATTTCTTTTAAGTAAATTTTTTTATTGTTTTTAAAAGCCATAAGCCTATAAACATTAACCATCATTACCTGAGCAGGCATCACTTCTGCATTTGTGCCACAAATCTTAACTCCAGCGTACAAGCAGGCTTTGTAATGGGCCTCCACGATGTCTCTGCCATAGGCTTTATCAGCTCCCACACCACAGTAGTATGGACCTGCAGGGATCAAGATGGGGGTGAATTATTTTAACAATGTACATATTTTCAATTAAACAAGTCAAATTCTGTTGACCCAAATTCTAACCTTGGGGTCCAGGGAAACCATTTGATGGCCATCCAAATGGGTGTCCATCTGTGCCCAAAATAGTGTACTCCTGCTCCATGCCAAACCAAGGATGCTGGTCCTTCACCATTTCCATCACCTTATTACATGTGACTCTGAGGTTGGTTTCTGAAAATTAAAAAACAAAAAAACAGTTAGCTTAGTCAAAGCATCCAGACACAGATAACCGACTACTTGATAAGATGATTTCAGTAAATCCAATTATACACAAGGAGCCTCATGAGCCGTGCACTGCTGCCTATTAGAGAGACACAAGCCTCACCTGACCAGAACACAGTAGGTGCATGTGACCGAGTGTACCACAGTGATTTAGTTCTCAAACTCTCTCAACCAGTATGAGAAGTTAAACCATTTCGGCCAGTGTTTTAAAAATAAACCACACTTTAAATTTTAGGTCTGAAAATGTAATTAAACTTTTTTTCATTTATTTTCTGAGCAATCCAATCCCCATCAATAGTCTTGCTTTGAGGAAGTTTTTTTTAATGAGAAAGCTTTAGAAAACTAAATCTTTACTTTGTATTGCAGCTGCTCCTTTCTTTGTTGCAGCTTGAGGGACATTCCATCCACATGATGCTTTCTATTATTCATTTATTCTGTTTTCCAATGACTTGTAGTTTACCTTCTGTCCATTTGCCAATGATGCTATTTCCTCCTAGCATGAAAACCCTTAACATTTTCAATAAAATCTTTGTGAGTGCAAATTCAAGACAGGTTAGTTGCTCGTTTACGTAAACCGACTGCTTCTTGTTATCGTAATATCATTAGAGCTTGCGTACTTTCTTTAATCTGAGGACGGCCAAGGTCTTTGTAATTTTCCTTACCTGTTGGTTTACGATTGTACTTCAGTACTTCACACAGTACAAGCTTGTTAGGGTCTTTGCGGAATGGATCACGGAACATGGCAGAAGGAATTAGATACATGTCACTGTTGGATCCCTCAGCCTGGTAGGTGCTGGAGCCATCGAAGTTCCACTCGGGGAGATCTAAAAAAAGGACGTACGTAAGGATTTAAAAAAAAAAAAAAAAAAAAGCATGGCAGCTGCAGCCTATAACCAACTGTGTCTAAAGTGTAGCCCAGAACCAATGCTAACCAGTCCAAGTGTTTATGTAACCTAAGGATTTTTTTTTAGGCAAAATTTATGGCCCACATCTGGAAAGGAAATAAGCACCCACAGATAACATTTTGTACTATTTCCCCCCAACTCAGATGATACATTTTGTACCAAATCCTAACTTTAAATTGAATGAAGTTCAACATTAAGTTAGTTAACATTTTCTTCTGGTGATGCCATATAGCTAATGATAATGGATAGCTGATAATAACATTTTTTTTTCTGATTAATAACTTTAAACTTAACCATTATGCAGTGAGCTCATTAAAATCAGTGGGTCTTCTTTAATTACAACAATGCAAAGAATACAGGTCATTCTCTTTGCCTTTGATTTACAACATTAATACCATTAATTCATAGTTCCATGTGAATTGCTGCTTACCTTCAATGCTTTTGGGTTCAGAATCCAGTGTCCTTGTTTTGCATCTGAGACCCTCTCCGGTGCCATCCACCCAAATATACATGGCCTGGACTTTGTCCCCCTGAGGGAGCTGCATGTACTGCTGCTTGACAGCTTTGCTGAGGGAGGCGCTGGCTGATGTGGCCATTTTATTTCCTACTATAACACACCTGAGGAGCAAAGAACAGGAAATATAAGAGCAGTCATTAAAATGAGAGGTGAGAGGAGGGGGGCGCTGTGCTCCCGATCACATGTTGCGTAACAGGCTTTTGAGGGGCGCAAATAGGCCCCCATTGTCTCTACTTCCAGAAAAAGGGCTGAGACACACACCGATGAGGGGGAAACGAGGCACAAATCCAGGGCTTTCTACAGTCACAAATAACGACTTTATAAACCATTCCGTGTAAACTGGACGCGTTTAAAACAAAGAAGCCATTTCAACCAGTGGCGCGTGGCGGAAACCACCAAATTCAAGCAGGTTAAAAAAACAAAAAACAACGGGCTAATGCATGGACCGATAAGTAAATATTTAAATTAATCGCCGTCAAATTCAAAGTAAACAGTTGAAATCCGCACTACATCCTGTTATCTTACAGTTATTGTTGTCACGGTTACTACCGCCCGTAGTGAGGCAACGTTGCATCATGGTTTACTTTACATCCGCAATCTATCAACAAACATATAACCGAAAGCTCATCATACAAAAGTAACAGCGAAACCACAAACCACTTTTATATACAAAACCGCTTTACTACATTACACCAGTTGTTTTAAGGACAGAAACCTGTATATTTGAAGTCTCATTTAAGTACAACGCAAGTGAAGAACACGAGTTCGCAAAACTAGAACCAAGACATCTACATTTTTAACTCAGCAAAGAAGAGTAATGTTGTGGTTGTATTTCTTTTTAAAAATCTTAATTTATGTCAACCATTTTACTAAAATCCATCTTCACACCACGTTTTACACCACGTTACACTGACGAATACAGAACAAAAAAAAACGACAGAAACTCTTAGTTGAACACAAAAGGAGGATATTTACCTGGATGAACGAGGAAATTCAAATAACAACTAAAGGACTGACAGGTCCAGTGTGATATTGTAAGGTTTGGTGCTAGTTTCTTTCTCATTCTCCGGTACCAACTACCCCACTCTAGCTGCCATTCTTATAGGAACTGGAACAGCGCCTGTGATTGGTCGCTGATGCGTTTCCGGACTGAGGCATCTCATTGGAAGAAGAAAACGGCGCAGCAACGCCCTCTAGCAGCAGTTTGTCGGCCGCCTGTGCAGGCATGGACAATAGTCCTCCGTATAATCTGGCAACCGAAATGAAGAGGAACTAAATTGCAAACATAATCCAGGTACAAACTATACAAAAACACTCTTTGGTGTTAGACTATATGGACACTATCAGAATCCATATTCGTGACGGAATCCTTCGACAGCGCCACCATGCGGTAGACGTCTGTTGTTGTGGGTCTATTTAGGATTTGAGCAACGAGATTATGTAAGACACCCATCTGGGATTGGTTCATTCTGGTTTTGCACTGGTTTGCACACGTGATGTGGTACAATGTGTCCTTAATGATGGGTGGTTAAAAACAAATAAATTCGAAACACTTTTCTTTGTCTATGAATGGTTTCCTTTTGTTTTCTGACTGTTCTTTTTCTAAAATGTATAAATCAATAAGGATTCTGAGGCTTTCCATGGAAATTTGTTTTCCTGGTAAATGATTTCCTTGCCAGTGATTGGATTAAAAAAATGTAAAACAGCCCTGTGGTTTGAGTGAATGAGGGGCTGTGAGGAGTGGTCTTGTGAAGCACATTTCAATAACAAAGTGATGTATTGACTTATTGAGAAACCAAGCACCAGAACAATGAGTTTTAGCTGCAACTGTAGTACTGTTCTTGTAACAACATCACAGCCAAATAAAAGTATCAGATCATGTTTAGACATCAGTAACAGGAGCAGTTTCACTAAATAGTTCAGACCTGAAGACTCCATTAGACCTGAAACTAGTATATATATTATTAAAAATACATTACATCAAACATAGACATTGGTAGTGTGGTTTCTGGCTGCTGCAAATGACATATACAACGTTTATACTGTATGTCTTCTTATAAGTTGAGTAATTTCTGTAACAGCCTACCTGTGTGCACAAGGCCTGCAGACACAGGAGATCTTTTTGAAATCGTTTATAATTTTTTTTTTTTTTTTTTTTAGGTTCATTATGTTACATTTGGTTACAATTGGTTTCATAAATATGTCTCTGGTTTTACTATCCTCGCTGGTTTGTGCCTGTTTTTTCTACCCATATTGTATTATTGCTGCCCTTTTTTGGCTATATTCCTTCTTTCACTTAAAGATTAAAAGGATGGCTTCATATTTACTAAATACAAATCTGATGGGAATACAGAATACAAACTGAGATCTTCTCAGTTTGTATTCCAAATGACATATTTGATGACCCATCAGATTTTTATTTGGTAAATGTGAAGCCATCCTTTAATCTTTTATTCTCCGCCATTTATTACTTTCCATTCTTGTGTTATTGTCATTCATAATGGTTCACTTTCTATAAGGCTACGTCCATGGCAAATCCACGGTACATATACAATGATTTTCCAATTCCAATAATAGTATTTTTTACTAATTTATACTAAACTACTTTCTGCTAGTACTAAACTATATATATGTATATATATACATGTATACATATTGTACTTTAATTAAGTACTACTACATATATATTTGCTATTTGATCTTAGACATGCCACCTTATCATTAAAATAAACTATGCATTGATTAATAAATGAGAGGTTCTCTCCTGATTCCTTTTCAAACGTTATGCTTAAACAGACTAGTTAAAACAGTGACCTATTTACATAACCGAAGCAGGAGACTTGCTGGACAGGAGCTCAAATCAGGATAGAGCCGGACACGTCATTTCAAAGGTCAGGCTACACATACTGAGTTCACTTCAGAGGGGTTGCAAAAGCAAGATGGTGGGGATTTTGTGTAGAAGGCCAGAGGTGAAGGCTGGAAATCAAACACAGCACCTGGGACTGTCATACAGCCCGGTGTTAGGAATCTGCTCCGAGCTCTGTAGGCTGCAGCCAGTTTGGTTCCCGTGTTTGTTTGTTTTGTTTTTTGCACCCCTGTTTTGTAATTAGGAACAATGTTAATTACCCCTTACACACACACTCACACACATCTACATCCCAACTTTTATTTTCTTTACTCTGTTTGACCGGAAATAACTTCAAATTCAAATTCAAAACAGGTTAAAGAAGTCTTTTTGAATAAACAAATATAAATCAGCAGTTTGGCAACAGACAGACAAGCCTGGAATAAAATCCAGTTACCGTGCTTGGGCAAAGACAGTAAACCTAACTGACCTGAACTGTGGCAAAATTCCAGTTACAGATTATCTCAGGAATGCTGGGAACATCCACACTCTCTCTAAGTGTTCAAACTTGTAGTTTGGCTCGTCAGGTTTCTACCAGGCCTGAAACATACTGTATGTTAGCAGTTTCCTATCAGCTGGCCAAACGAGGGCAACAGAACACCAATTCTGGTGACGGTTCTTGTATTATTGTGAATTTTAAAAAATCACAAGATAGACAGAATTCATTAGCCTCGGTTGTTGTCGCAGAAACAGTAAAAACTTGCTGTGATGTGATACATTTGACGTCTTGTTGACGTATGTGAGGCCACAGACAGTTGCAGCAGAATCATTCACACAAAGTTAGGTATTAAAAATAGAAAAAGTCTTTAGTGGCTGCAAGGTGAAAAAAAATGTAAATTAATGTTTGTTATGGGTTTCTGTTTGTGGTTTTTAGTCTCCCATTTCTCTTTTCTGACTTTACATTTAACCATAGTAATGTGCTGTTCTGTATTTTTTTTCTTTCTGTATTTAGCTATTAGTTACTCTGATTAGATCCTCATATTTGTGTTGTTTTCATTTCTCCATCTGTGGTCAGGAAAGCACTTAGCTCATACTTTTATAACCATATCTTGGTTCTATCTTCTGATTTGCAAGTGTTTAAATCTTGTGTCTTGTTTTGAAAAAAAACACCCTTTTCTATGACAGTGCTTTCAAATCTTGTTTGGTTCATCATGGATGACAGGCTGTTCATGTATCTTTGTGCTGTGTAACAATACATGTACAACCTGTTCTTCTAATAATCACTAACTGCAGCCTTTGACCAAAATAGATCAGAACAGCATCATGGCTGCTGCTGCTGCTGCTGATGATGATGATGAATCACCAACTGTGATACACTGACACTTTATTATTAGTAAGTGACTTGAAGGTTTTCTACTTAGATGGGTACTGTCCTTATGTCTCCTTATCACACTTTATATTTCACACAGATAAATATGAGGTGACTTCATCATTATTTATCAATAGGATTTAAATATAATATAATTTTACTGTTAATTTTATGTAGAATCAGTTTACTATAAATACATTATAGTGTAAATATAAAAAAAAAAAGGAAATAATAGTGGTAGACATACACTAAAGAATACAAGATAATATAATACAAACCATTGACAAGAATGTAAAATAAAATTAAAAAAACTTTATATACATACATACCCGCACGCACAAATTTAATTCTGTGTAATTTTGATATTGAACCACAACATGTTACCACCGCTAGGTGCTGCTAAATCCTAAAAGTACATTGTGTACCTTTAAAATACTTCCCTTCAACCGCTCAATCTACAGCAGCCATTCATTTTCGTGTCCATTTACTTCCCTTACTGCTTCACACAATGTAAAATATAATTTATACCTGTTAGAATATAGCAATGAGAATGATATTTTTAATAGTAGTTTCCTAAACTCAAGTGACATTAAATTGGATTGGATTAATGTCACTTATTCTAATTCATGTTTTAATCTTTTGGTAAAACACAATCTGATTCAAATTTTACATTTTCAAGCAGGTGATTGTCTAAGTCGTGTTGGTTTATGGATTAGTCAATAGTTAATTAATTACAGTTTGTGTAATACATGTTTTTTATTAAATTAAATTAAATTAAATAATTAAAACAGGCCATGCTTCTATCACATTTATGGTTTGGTTCCAAGTTTGTAGCAATGGTTACATCAGAATGAACATGACTCCTGCAGAAAGGAATATTTATTCCTTAAAATCATTCTTATGTGTACCTGTTTCTGATATTCTCTTTCTTCGACAAATATTTTCAAATATGCAATGGACACGTGGACAGGAGAGTTGACATCATTTGACAAGGTCACTGGTCTGACACTGGGCACCGTTTAATTTAAAACACAGCTTAAAACGAACCTTACAGCCACCCCTTCATCAGTTTGGGGACTCCTCATTTAACGAAATATCTGACGTAGTACTTTACTATTCCAGGAGAGGGTAGCAGCTACTAATACAGGATTTCATCCAGGACATACCTAATCCATTCTTTCTGTTTTTCCTGAACCTGATTATTGAATTTTGTCGCGTAAATTTATACAAAACTAACTCTGTTAGGGTGAAAGTATATCAAATCTGTTCCTCCGTAATTTAATAATATGCTCGTAGTTGACGTAACGTATAAACCGGTTGTTAAACTCCACAATGATGTAACAGGGATCTGAACAGACATCAGAGTCAGTGGGAGCTATTGGAGAAATGCCTCTGTGGAAATCATAACAGGGTTAAATTAAGAAATAATTATCAGAAAGACCAACTGATTTATGATAAGGTGCATGTCAGAAGATCGAGTGTTTTGTTCATCGTTTAATCAACGACATTATTATTATTATTATTATTATTATTATTATGGTTTTAAGACTCACCTTCAGGTTCATGTCTTTGTCACTCAGCACAGATGTTGATGAATAGCCCACCTGGTTACCTTTACACCTTCACCCCACCCAACCTCTTAACAATTAGACCCTAACCTCTACGATCTCTTGGATGTCATATATCACCGTGTCCTCTACAAACCACAGGACAACACACTACCTTAAAAATTAATAAGGCCGACAACATATTTGTCGCTATTTCGATGCCCAGCATGTCCTCTGCGACTCATCACTACAGCTGTAAATCAGGCCAGTAGGAGCCCCGAGGGGCCGTGTTCCTCCAAAGCTCCTTCAAAACACTTTATATGGAGCATCAATAGCCAAACACTTTGCAAAAAAAAAAACACTTATTGGCA